AGGAAGTGGAGCGGGGCAGGGTGAGAGCTGCTGCCAAGCCCCAGTGTCACCTGCATCCTGTGCCAACCTGGGAGGCTGGATGCAAACCAGTTTTAAAGCCTTCAGAAGTGAAAGGCTGGGTAGTCGGTAGGGGCTTGTGTTAAAATGTGAAGTGGAATCAGTGATGAATTAATCTGGGCAACCAACCTAACTTTGTTATCCTGCTTGGACAACTGCAAGTCCTTGCCCACGATGGTAGGGGCTTCTTGCAGCAAGCTGGGAAGCAGAGCAGGAGGTTGCAAGCTGCTGGGAAGCAGGAAAGTAATTGCAGAACCTATCCAAGCCCCAGCTCAAGGAAACGCTCTGCATGTGTGGTTCTTCTTAAATTTTTTGCACTATTGCTGCTCATCCTTTGACCCCAGAGAATCCCTGGCTGAATACATCTGGGGTCCGTCCCCCAGCTCCCCTCTCTTGGCTCACAGCAGCTCTCCTGTGTTGCTACAGAACAAGTGTTTCCGCTACTGGCCAGACAAGGGCTGTGCCAAGGAGTATGGGTGCATCTGCGTGCGAAACGTCAGCGAGCGCGAGGCGCAGGGCTACTACCTCCGGGAGCTGGAGATCCTGCACGTGGACAGGGTGAGCTGATGGTGGTTCCGCGGCCCTGGGAATGGGATCTGGAGCATCTCTTGCTTGTTACCTAATGGTTCCATTGCTGAAGTTCTGGGCTGTTTTGTTCCAGTTTTGTTGATGGGAAAGGAATGGAGATGTGGTACGCCGGGTGATGGGTTGGCAGTTGGACTTGGTCTTAGTGGTCTTTTCCAACCTTAATGGTTTTATATATGAAGGGGAAGCCTGGTGCTCCTTCTGATGGGTGCTGGGTCTCTGCTCCACGTAGGATGAGCGTCCCAGGGTGGTGAAGCACTACCAGTATTTCAGCTGGCCAGACCACGGGGTGCCCAATGAACCAGGAGGGGTTCTCAGCTTTCTGGACCAAGTGAACCGCACGCAGCGAAGCATTCCAGACACGGGGCCGATCATAGTGCACTGCAGGTAGGAACCAGCTCTGCCGTGGGGACGGGGAACAAAAACGGAGTCTCTTCCCTTTGTTACCTACAACTGGCTCATCACACGGTCTGGTGGAGGGCAATTGGGAAACAGAGGTGATACAGGTATGCACATAGGGAAATATAGCCTTCCTTCTCTTTCTCCAGTGCTGGAATAGGACGCACAGGCACCATCATAGTGATAGACATTCTGGTGGATATTATTCACAGGCAAGGTATGTCTCCATGTCAGTCTTGTGACTCTCACTGTTTGCCTTGTTGTGAGATAAGCCTGCTCAGGTGCAAGCAGTGGTCCGTGATCTCCCAGCAGTGGGTTCGTCTCATTTTGGGTTCAGGCTTGATCCTAAACCTGGGGTTAGAGTGACTTTTGTAGCATGTCTGGACCCTCAGTTCTCTTAGTGGGAGCATTTAGGCAGGCGGACCCTTTTCAGCAGTGGTTGTGTTTATTTCTTAAACCGCAGAAGGAGTGATAAGCCAGAATAATTTCTCAACCTCATTGCCACTTCCCACTTTCTGGCTTTGGAGCAGGTTTGGACTGCGACATTGACATCCCCAAAACGATCCAGATGGTACGCAGGCAGCGCTCTGGCATGGTGCAGACAGAGGCCCAGTACAAATTTGTTTACATGGCTGTCCAGCAGTTCATTGAAGCGGAGCAGAAGAGGCTGGAGGAGGAGCAGGTGAGTCCTGTTCAGCTTGGTTGGAGGAGCAAGGGCGCATCTTGCCCCACACCAGGCGCCGCAACCACTTCCTTTATTCTGGAACCCAAATGCTGCCCTGAACATATGGGAATGAACCCACAGCCACCGCTCCCTGCTGGCGTGTGGGGTCCTGCAAGGCTTCCTTCTGCGTCAGCCCTGAGTGGGGTTTTAATGTATTTGCTTCCTATTTCAGAGAAGTAAAAGGAAAGAGCGAGACTACTTGAATATTGGATACCCTCCTGTGGAAAAAGGCAGAGCCAAAGGGCAGCCCCCTTCGCCACGAGCCCAGCCTGTGTAAGTCTGTCTGCTGGGAACAGGACTTTCTGTAGCAGCAGGAGGACGGCTGGAGCCTGGTCCCCAGCACTTATCCTTCCTCTCCCATTCCTCAAACCTCACCAGTTCCTGGCTGTTGGATGGGAATGGCTCAAAATAAGCAGGTGATCCCACCACGCTGCCAGCACTGTGACGGCAGCCCACCTTCCTCTTGTGGGAAGGGCAAATAGATCCTGGCCTGCGGTATCTCGAGCCCTACAGGCTATGGGGAAGGGTAAAGGAAACTTGGCCAGGCCACTGCCTGCTTCCGACCGGCCACCTGCCTCTGGGAGCACATCCAGAGCAGCGAGGCTGTTCACAACAAGGCTTTGTTTCTTGACAGGGCTGATGATGAGTCAGCTTCCGTCTATGAGAACCTCAACATCAAAAGCCCAAAGGTTTCAGGGATGAGTAACACGGGGCGATAGAGGAGCTGGAGGTGAGGCTGTGCAGGTAGGAATGCTTCCTTTGGTTAGGCTGAGTGTCACCACTGTCTGTTTACGTTGCATTTATCCTGTGTGCTTCAGTGCATGCAGATCTCCACGGCTCTGCTTGCATCAGGGAAGCCAAATAGGCTGTAATGAAACGGAACAGAGCCTAAAGATGTGGCTGTGTGGCAGAACGGGGAGAACTGTGCTAATGGGATCATGCTTGTTTTAAAGTGCGCCCGGTGCTGTAGGGGAGAAACTACATAAACCAGGAGAGATTTTGGATGCTGGGAGTAGCTCAGCTCTGTGTCCCATCAGTGCACTTTTCTCCCAGTCGTAAGCCGTGCCCTTTTGTCCCTCTTGCTTAGGACTGCAGGACTTACAGTGTTTACGTCCACCCTTTTCACATGCTGCAACTGCGGACAGTGCTTTTTGCCCATTTTGCCTTCCCTGAGCACCTTGGATTCAGCGAGGAGCTAAGAAGCAAGCAGAGCCTTAAGAACACGCCTGGAGCTAACATATTCTTGAGAAGGACCTTCTCCTGCTCTCCCCTGTATCAGTAGGTTGATATTTATGTGGAAGTGCCTCTGGACATTCGTTGGGCATCGAAGCTGTTTTAATTGTTGTTGGTGTTTGTGTTTTCTTTTTTAATTTAAGATTGTTATTTTTTACATGTAAATGGTTAAGAATGGAAATGCCTATTTGCTTAGGAGCTTTCCCAGGGTTGCCCACGGAGGGCATTAGTCAAGTATTAGTGCACTTCAGTCTATTCGTTAGGTCAATCATTTCCGAGCTAGAAGTGTTTGCTTCTAGGCTAATTTCCAGGCTGACTTTGCTGCCTTGAAGGTGGGAAGTAGCACTGCCTGGAACCCAGGTATCTGTGCCTCTGTTGATTCTTCTCCTCACACTTCTGGCTGTTGCAGTTATAGCTTTCTATGCAACCCTGCTGTACAACAGGTGAGGTGTGTGTGTGTGTGCGTGTGCTTGGAGCTGCGTGTGAGCGTCATGGCAGGGCTGGGAGGCAGAGGTGAGCACCCTCACTTTGGTGTGAGTATTGAGCCCTGAAAGCCCATCTAGCTGGAGTGTGCTGACGAGCAGGAAAGCAGCTTTGACTGTGCACTGTGCTTTCAGCCCCCCTGGGTGAGTAACACACCCTAGGATGCTGGGCTGAGCTGAACTTGTAGAGCTGGGTCCCTCTAAGCTTGATGCGGCTCTGCTGTTTCCTTGCTGTATGACCTCTTCTTCCCCCTACAACTATATGACAAGTGCTGTGTGTGCTGCATTGGGTGCTGTAGGAGCACTTAGGATTTGACCAGTGCCACGAAGATGAATGTGTTACTGAGTGGAGTGTTCCAGCTCTGTTGAAGAATCTTGACTTGTGACTGTTTGGGGCTTCCTGCTGTTCCAGCCCTTCGGTCTGCAAATAGAACCCCCCCCTTTTTGCAGGATTCATTGGGGTCAGAGTGCCAGTGTTGACTTCTGGAGCATGCAGGGTGCTGATGTGCTCCTGGGTCGCTGCCCCTCTGCCTGGTCAGGGACCTTGGTGCCCAAGAGCCAGCAATGAGCAGGAGGGGCTGAATGAAAGCACGATGGCATCCCTTGGCTGTATTTCCTGACTGGTCTTCCTGGTCCCTTGTCACAGGACAGGAAAACTGTTTTATTTTTATTGCACTTTTAATAAATGTTGGATATTCTCAAAGCTTTTCTTATTCTTTTCCCCCCTCTCTTTTTAAGTGGTTTGGGAAAGTGAAAGTGTGGACAAGGGGCCTCCTGAGCATCTGTGAGCTGTGAGATCTCTGTGCTCGCTGTTTAGCAGCCATAACAATGGGTGTGATGAGGCTGAAGATGCTGTTTCCCTCCCCCCTGCCCTTAGGTCTCATCAGTGGGATTGAGCAGTGTGACAGAACACTTCATCCCTGCTAGTGCCAGTTTGCTGGGCTTAATCTCAAATGCACCTTTTAGGATGAAAGTGCCTTCTCTGCCCTAAGTCTCAGTGAGCCACTTTTTCCAAGAACGCACTTAAGCTGGTGCTGTGAAGATATCCTTCACAGCAGCAAGCGATGGGATGATGCAAGGGAGAATCCCTGTTGAGCCCAGGGCCTTTGGCAGAAGCTGTTGCAGTTCCTGGACTAATTTCTGCAGCCATGTGGCTGGCACAGATAATAGCAGCCTGCAGCTCAACAACAAAGGTGGTGCAGATACAGAACGCACTCAGAAGCTTTACAGAAGTTTTGCATAGCAACAGACTTGGGGTACTTCTGCTGTTGCTTCAGCCTTTTGTATTTCAGATCAGATTTGCTGCAAAGGGAGACTGAGAACATCTTCGACCCAGCTGGGAAGAAGCAAAAGATGAGCAGTCTTTGCAGCTTCTCCTTTTTCAGGGGTGGTTGTGCTTGGGACGGCATCACTGGGATGGCAGTAAGTATGAAGGCAGTGGATAAAGAGTACAGCTGTGCTGCTGCTGCGTCCTTTAAGGGGGGAAACAGGGAGTAAATGTTACACACTGACACCTTGCATTGTATAAAACATAATTTAATACATCCATGGTACTTGTGTACAATCCTGTCTCACATCCATGTGCTTGAATAAACAAGATTTAATTGTAAGCCGCCTTCTTCACGAAGACCATTATTAACCACTGTCAGAAGATCACTGGGTTAAATAAAAAGAGAGTGTAAGCAACTGGCCTGTGTCTTAATACTGACACCTTGGAAGATGAGGAGGGTAGAGCTGTCAGAAAGTGGAACTTCTGCCGCTTCAGTAACAGTTGGCCTGGGAGCAGAGGGAAGGAAGCTCACGGAGGACAGTGTGATGCCGTGCTCAGGGCGAGTTTGCTCTCCTTTCCAGGTTAAGGATGAGTGCTTACTCTTTTTTAAGCACCTTCTTAGAGAGAAAAACAAAACGGCAATAGGGTGGCTTTTATTTTCCGTTGGAAATTCAGCAGCGCTCGGCTCAGCTGAGGAGCAGGGGTGGATCGATGTGTTGTCAGCAGGAGGCAGAATTTCACACCTCCTGTGCTGAATCCACAACGGAAACGTTTTGAGCATGTGGAATAAGGTTAATTTTCATCTGCTTCTGCAGCTTCAACATGTCCTTACCTTCCTAAGCTCAGCTCCTCTTAGGAATAGCCACGAAGCTAGCCCTTTATTCCCCAAAGGAGCTGGAAGGAGCTACAGCCACCGTCACCTGGTATCAGCCTGTGGGCAAACAGTCCCAGAAGCTCATCTGTCGCCCATCACACCTTTGCAGCAGCTTTGAAGACTCAGGTTTCCATGGAGTTTGGCAGCAGGAAACTGAGGCAGCTCCTGGGAGCATTCCTGGGCTGCTGGAGGTGAGTGCGTGCATCCAGGTGTGGGCACAGAACGGGAGCGGGGACCGTGGGGTCTGCAAGCACACCGAGGGATGCTCTCGGGGGGTGTGCCACGTTATGCCTGGTGCTACAGGAATGGGAGCTGTGTCACAGGCGTGGCTGCTGTGGTGTGTTTCGAGGGGAGATATTCTGGCCTGCTCATTGCAACAGTCCTGGTGAAGCAGCGGAGGTTCCCCGTCTTCAGCGCGCACTGCACCGGCCATAGGATGATGCAGAAGAGGATGATGATGAGAGCAGAGAGCAGGACAATGCGCTTCCAGTCGTCGCACACGTCACAGCGGGACAGCCTCCCTGCCAGCCCCGTCGGGGGGACCTCTGGGCTTTCAGGTTTGCTCATGGCAACGTCGATGGAGATGCACGAGTCTGGGTTCTCGGGGTCGTCAGAGGCCTGCCGGCAGCACAGCTTGGTGCCTTCCATCCAGAGCACCTTTTCCTGCTGGAGCTCGGGGGGCAGAGTGGCCAGCAGCTCCTTGCTGGTCTCCAGGGCTGGGGCACCTTCCAGCGGGATGCTGGTCAGCTGCCTGCAGAAGGGGCAGGGGAGCTGGTCCTCGGGGTGGTTGGGGGGCAGCCCTTTGCTCAGACGGGCCACACACTCCAGGCAGAAAACATGCGAGCATTGGAGCAGCTTGGGGGTCTTAAAGGTGTTGTCGTATGTGTTGAAGCAGATGGAGCATTCAACGGGGGAGGCCGGCTTTGGGGATGTTGGGTTTGGAGAGCCTGGTTTGTCAGTTGGGGACCTTGCTTTCCTCTTGCTGTCCACCGGAGAGGTGATAACGATAGGGCTGATGGGAATGGGGATTTCATGTGGAGATGCAGGGACCGGGCTGGTGGGAGAGTCCGGTGTGCTGGAGTGCCACAGCTGGGTGAAGCACGACATGACGGAGCTCGAGGAGATGAATAGAGCCCTGGGAGACTCTGCAAGAGAAGGACAACCATAGCTTTAGCTTTAAACAGCGAAGATACCCATCACCAGGCCTATCTTTAACCCCACAAGAGAACTGAAGAGCAAGCTCATGGCTTGCGAGGCTGGAAAACCGCTGCTAGAGCTGCCTGTTTGAAGCCGCACGATGAGGATGAAGGTAACCAACCTGCAAAGCGAGCAGCCACCAGAGATCCACCATCCAGAGATCCGCCATCCAGCCAAAGCCTTTCCACCACAGTCACCCTGGCACTAAAGATGGCTGCAGCCTTTCCCCAAACCTCGCTCTGGGCAGAGAAAACATAAAGGACCTACCCTGGGTGGTGCTGCCCAATACCTGAGCAGGGAGCAGAGCAGAGGACTCCATGGGGTCAAGCAGGGACCTCCCTAAAGCAGTCTATTGGGCTGGGAGGTATACTCAGATACTATGGTGAGGCCTAAGAGACAGATAACACTGTTCAGTGGTGGAGCAGCAGCAGGGTGAAGCTCTTCGGGGTGCTCTGTGCGCTGGGGCTGCCAGGTGGCACCAATGGGGCTGTGGGTGCACAGTGGGAGCTGAACGCTTCCATGCGGCAGCGGGACCGAGGGAGTGAGGAAACACTGTTATCTCACAAAGTCTGTTCGATCCTGTCACCGTGACACAGCAAGAAACGAATCGTTGGAGGAAATGGCTTTTGTGCCAGAACAAGGGGGAATTCGCCAGTGTTTCCTTATTGCTCTGCTTTCCCCAGGGAAGTGCAGCTCTTCCCTATTCTCAGCGCTGGAGGAGCGCCAGCGCAGCCCAAGCCTTGCTGTGTGCTGCCATCTGCTTTCTGCTTTCTCTCCTTGTGCAAGCAGAGCCCTGAGCTAAGCGGCTGATACGGCAGCTCCAGCAAATTGATTTACAACCGAGCTCCTCCAGCCTTCCAGCAATCTGGGTATTACCTTGAATTCCAGTTATCTGGGGCTGGGAACGCGGCTCTGAGCACACTCTGATACCAGGTGTATGGCTTTCCAGATACGGAGTGCTTATCCCTGAAAGCAAGTGTTTGGCTGGAGGAAGTTCTCAGCGCCGGCTGCACTGCTGTGTGCCTGGGGAGCATTTTTTGAGGGCGTATCACTGAACTGGCTGGGCTTGATTCTTTGTGCTGGGAGATTTACCAGTGACAAGTCAGAAACGGTAATTATAGGCCTGCAGTCTGTCCTGCAGTGGTTCGACAACGCGGGCTGCAGACTCCGTGTCTTAGCAAGAAGGCTGATGTAAGGGATGGGAAAGACTTGCCTTTTCCTAACGTTGCACAGAAGTATCTCCGTGATGCATGAACATCATCTCCCATCATGGTTAGCTTTTGATTGCCATAACCAAAAGCAATCTTAAGTTGCCAGGCTGCACCTACGGGAGGAAACTTTGCCTTCGATGCAAAGTGTTGCCTTAAATACTTCCTCTATTGCTTCTCTGGTGCTCACCGGAGCCTCTCCGCAAGTTAATCTTCAGTCTGCATTTTTTATCTGAGCTTTTCAGCAAGTTGTAATATTTGTTGTCTGTCTTTCCCTGGCTGCAGCTCAGCCTGCATATTTTAGCACTATCTGGCAGATGCTGATGAATTGCAGAACTACAAATCCAAACCCGGCTGGCACAAAGACAGGAAAGCCCTCGCTCCGTTGTTTTCTTTGTGGTGCTTTTTTTTTTGCTTTTTTGTTTTTTGTTTTTTTTTTCCCTCTTTTTGCTTTTACCAAATCCTCAGTTTTGCAGATCCCCTCCCCTACACTTCCACAAATATCTGTTCCATAACCTATCTGAAAAAGATCACAGAATGACAGACTGACTGAGGCTGGCAGATGCTGCTTGGTACTTTTCTCTAACGCAGCCATAGCAGAGCAGCAGTGTCTTGAGAGTAAACTTGAGGAAGTTTGCTTGCAATGGGTACTTTTAGATGGCCATACGAGCTTCTGTGCCCCCATCTTCCCTTTGCTTGAGGTGATGGTGATGCTCGCTGGGTTTGCTTCGTGGGGAAGCCAGCACCAAGTTTCTCCTGGATGCCACCGCTGCACTGCCCAACCTTGCTTTTGTTTTGGTAGCAAATTTCTCTCACTACGTGTGGTCATTTTAACACAAACAATTCAGACCTCTGCGGTCACAGCGCTCTTCCTCAGCCCTTGCAGCTCTTTCCACCACTGCCAACCAGAACCTTGGAGCACCACAACTAAACCGTTCCATAGCTGAGCTCAGCCGTCCCACTGGCAGCCATCCACCCAGCCTCAAATCTACCAAGATAAGTGCTTTTTGCTTCCCTCAAATCCACCAAGTACTTTATGCTTCCCGACGACTTCTAGAAAGCTTCCTCCCACCCCATGAAACCAGACTTGAGAGTCCCTACAGCTCAGTGCCAGCCCTACTACACCGTTCCCAACGTAGCTGTGCCTTGCAGCAGACATCAAGGAGGTGAACAGCAGGTCAAACGCTATAAATACCTGTTCAAAGAGCAGCGTAGAAGGAGAAAAGCATGTTCTGGGCTCTTGCTTGCTACCCCAACGAGTCTTCTCTCCAGCTGGGCTCTGTATCTCCCAGCCTTCTCCTGTTGCGTTGGCTCCCTTTGGGTTTGAGCAGCTCCGCATCAGTGGCCGCGCAGCCGCACGCCGCAGCCTCTTATACCTTCCTGGCTGCAGGTGAGTTCCCTGCTCCGCCCGTCCTGCCCACAGCCATGCGTCACCCATTGGCTCCCAGCACTCTTCCACTGCAGCCAGCTCTTGGGAAGACCTGATAAGTGGTGACGGCACGCCGAGGGCGGGTGGGAGGTGTTGCTTTGGTCATCTCCCCTGTAGGGGGGAACACCTTCCTTTTCCAGTTAGTCCTGATAGGTTTTTTTGCCCAGATTGGACCTTTTAAAATAATTCTTTGCAATGCCACCTTGTTTTCAGTGCACCGTATAACTCTGCTTCCTATAGAGATTTTTGAACTAATACTGCATGGGATGCAAGAGGAGGAATTTCATTCTTTGCAGCTTTTGCCAGTAATTAACCCAGAGAAATGCTGTTCAGAGTGCAGAGCCTTTGTGGTTCAAAGGGCACTGATCTGTGGCTCGGAGAAACAAGCCAACAACTTTAAATTCGCATGCAGATAAGGAAACAGATGGGGAAAGGAGGGATAGGAAAACCTTCACGGTTTGGTTTAGTTCTCATTCGTTGCAAATAATTATTTGCTTGGCTCAATTCCTTAAAAAAAAAAAAAAAAGACTGGATTTTTTCGGGGAGGTATTTAGGGAGTCCCTTAAAAAATGGTTGAGAAATAGAGAGCGGGTGAAGATGGGGCTTTCCCAGATCTGCATGGGGGTCTGCACAGCAGGAAGGTCGCAGCCCCTCGCGGTGCCCCTCTGTTTGTATTGCTGCTGTGCTGGCAGCACGGCGTGTGGCTGCCTGGCAGGATGCAGCAGCAGGGCTGTGTGTCAGGCTCATGGAGGTCTTGCCCACTGAGTCACCTGCACAGGCATTTCAGTGCACTGGGCTCGAGGTTAGTGATGTTCAGGCCTGCTGTACGCACAGAGGTGCTTTGCATTCAGCGCTCTGGGTTGGATACAGCCAAGATCTCTCCTTATGCACTCAGTGCAGCTGCATCAATTCCCTCTTTGATCATCAGGAGGGAGATCAGTGCTCTTTCATGCTCTCAAGGCAGCCCCAAGCCCGCTTTAAGCCCTTTATCCTTCTGACTGTGTCACAGCCTCATTTTCTCTGCCCTTGCTTTCCCATCACCCTCTGTGTGCGTGACGTGCAGCAATCCAGCCCTGCAGCCCATCCCTGGGCTGGGACACACAGTGTGCCTTGTCACACAGCATCACCGTGGCCACAGCCAGAAACCTACCCATGCAGCACCCCAATAGTACTGATTAAAACACTGCAGCTTTCTGTTGTTGGCTCTCCTCCATTCACCAGCCCTTCTCATCCCAGGTGAAGTGCTGAGGGTGTACTATTTCCAGGGGATGTAAGAAGTCAGCTAGCTGGGGATGTGGCCTTTGAGAGACTTGCAAGCTGGGCTCCTTGCTGCAAAAAGAAGCAATCATAGCATAGATTGGTGAACAGAGGCTGCTGAGCGTGGCTTCAGCTGGTTTCCTTGGCTTGTTATCGGTGCTTTAGATAAATCAAAGCCACTCAATAATTATGGCTGAGAAATTACTGGACTTAACCTTGCAGGACACAGCTCCAAGGTGTGCAGCATTATTCCTGCCTGAAAACCCATCCCTGTGAGGTTCGCTCTGTGATCCTACAGTGTTCCTGCAATTATTGCTGCAGAGTGGTAAACAGCTTGAAGAAGCGCTGTTTCCCTGGCTCCACGTGTAGCCAGCTGCCTGGCCAGGCATTCGATGGAGCCTCAGCAGCAGCAGGTTGTACCTGTGGCTATTGGAATTCCAAAGCATGTCATCCATCCCGTCGGGAACAAGCTTGGTGAATCATCAGATAAGTGAGACAGGACCTCACCGTGGGATAGTTCTGATGTGATTATATTTTGTCCTTCTGTAACCGCTTCTATCAAGCTGTCTCAAGATGCTTTAGGGATGTAACTAAGCCTTCCAGCAACTATGGTTATCAGGGATGTTATCTGCAGGGGAAGCTTTCTGGTGCACAGGAACCCAGAAGGCATTGAGAAATGCATTGGAAGCATCTCCGGGGGGAAGCCATGCACCTTAGCATGGCAGAGCACAGGGAGAAGCCTTTAAACAGGAGCTGGAATAGGAAACACCATCTGAGTTCTATAAGCAGTGCCCTTCTCGAGTTGCCCCGCTCTGGAACCAGCTGCCCCATAGTTTATCTCACTCAAACACTCAAACACTGGATCCACCTGGCACCTACCTTAGCACCGTCCTTCACTTCCTGTAGTCACCAGGAAAGCGCCACGATTAGATAATCATTACAAGGCACACAGGCAACGTGGTAATTTTCCTGATAGCCCACACCTCATGTGACCATTGCTGATCAGCAGCTCGGGGCTGTGTGATTCAGGCACTCATGGCCACTCTCGAATAGCAGGAATAGCAACCATTCCCTGCATATAACGTCAGGTCCTCTGTTCCACCCCTTAATTCTGAAGGGGTAAGTGACTGGGATCAATGGATAAACTGTGGTTTAAGGATCACTAGTGATCCATGATGCCGTGCCGCGAAGTCTGTGGCTGTCCCAAATGTCTGTGTCCTCCTACAGAAATTTGCATGGAAAGTCTGGCTGAGCTGCTCCAGGTTTCAGCCTGCTGCCAGGGGGGGCATGCTGTTGGAGAAGATGAAAGGGATCAACCCAGGGTTGGTGGCTGCTGTCGCAAGCCTAGAGGCAGCCACAGTCCCCGTGTAGCAGAGAAGAGGGACCACTGCAGGACGAAAGAGGTGCCAGGGGGAACAAGGTGAGGAGCAGCTGCAGTGTGCTCTCAGTGCTGCACCGTGAGTCACCCCCATGTTGTCCCACACAGGTGATGGTGCTGCGGTTACTCACTTCCCACCCTGCTCGGGGACGTGCTGAATTTGGGAAACAGGTTGTGACGTCAGAGTGTTTGCGGGGATATCTCGATTCCCTGATGACTTTTGCTTATGTAATAAACCTCCTGCCCTCTGCTGCCTGGATCCTTCCCTTCCGCACCGCAGCTGCGCTCAGACTTGCACACACACAGCAGAAGAGATGCCTCACCCTGCATCGGGCTGCGGGTGCCCATCAGAGCAGGAGAAGCTGTCAGATGGCTGATGCACCTGATCAGGGACGTCTCACCATGCCAGAGCTGAGTTTCAGCATGTTGGACCCCAACAGGCCAAAGCAGAAAGAGGCCGATGGTGGTGAGGGACAGGCTCCTCTGCAGTGAATGCTGATGCCCTCAGAGATCTGTGCTGATATCTTCACAGATGAAATCCTACAGTCCCTTTGTATAACCTCAGAGGTCAATAGAGCTTCTCCATAGGGCTCAGCAAGGCAAACAGAACGACAGACATGGCAATCTGTCACTCCCCACTGGGGTTGGGCACTAGTGCTCTTTGGCCTCAATGACACTCTATTCTTCTGCACTGAACAGCCGTAGGACTCCACCTACCGTCCCCTTTCCCATCCCAGAAGCTTAATTACACCTCCCTGAGCTTTATCATAATCCTGCAACAGCAGAAGTGAAATGTCTGTAAAGCCCTAGAAAGAAATAGTTCCTTATCTTCCACCCTCCCACCCAACGTAGAAATGACGGGTGCAATGGACGCACTTAAGACGTGATATCACAGCTGTCCTTTTTAAAGAGTGATCATTTTGTATCCGTATTTTAGAGATGGGGTCTGTATTTCCTTTGCACTCCTTTAGTATCTCAAGTACTGATGGAGGTTTGATAGCTCCACGTGGTGGCTGAGTGCTTTTTTGCACATCGACGACAGCCAGCATGTAACTCAGGAGGATCTGTAGGTTTAGTTCTCACAATGGTATTTCCAGTTGGATATTTATTTGTCTTGCTACTGTATGCAGTTAATCATTCCACTGCTTAAGGGAGTATAGGAGGGGTGTAGGACCGTCTCCCAGGTGTGATTGGAAATACTGTAAACAAAATAACTGTGTTTGCCCGGGCTGAAGAGAACGATTTGTACTTTGATCCCAAAGAATGTGGTGGGGCAAGAATGCAAAACGTGCCCTCAGTAGACGTGGAGATGTGTGCCGAGTCCCGGTGCGATAAGGCAAAGTTGGCACGGGGGTAAAACGCCCTTCTGATGCATCAGGCATGTTATCACCATTACCTGCATATGGAGATCTAAAAAGAACATCAGGGTGCTTTTCATGACTTCGTAGAACTTTAATTTACAGTTTCATCTCTAGGCCTGACTGCCCCCAAATCCTTTCTGACACGTGGATTTGAGCTGCAGAGACACTCCTATGTTTTGCACTCCAATGAGAGGCACCAGTTCAGTTTGTGATCTGAAGGGAAGGGGCCATCACGAGGGATGTCCTTTTATTCACTGCCACCATTTTCCACATACGTATTCATTATCCTATTTTAGCAAAGTAGGACATCTGAACATCTCTGTCCTCAGGCCCGGAGTCTGTTGATGTTCCCTCCGGGGACGGGTAGAACACAAGGGCTGCTGTTTCATAATAGTGCATCCAGAAAGACCAAACCTGGGCAGAATCTCCCCAGATGTGCAGTGGACACAAGTTGGTTTCACCACTCTATCAGTGAGGATCCAAAATCCCTGGGGGTTAGCAGCTCTCCTGCCTTCAGTGTGTGATGTCCCTGTGCTTTAGTGGACAGGAGCTTTGTCCCAGCGCAGTGTGAGAAGGAACTCTGACAAGCATTGTAGGATTTGTCCCTCTCCACAGAGTGGAATTGCAGAATCTTTTATGCTTGCAAAAACACAGAGTGCATTACAGTATTTGTATTCTCAGTGCAGACCGCTTTCCATCTGTCAATACAGATATTGCCTCTAGTTTACATAGAAAATGCAAATTGTTTTTTTTGACACTCGCTTCCTTCAAGCCTAATCCTGTGCTACACAGCACTACTTACGCTGACTTCAGAAGAAACCGAGGATGCTCTGCAGCTTCCAGGAGCAGACCTTTGGCTCCATGAAAAATTCAACATCTCATACCCCGCCTCTCTTTCGAAGCAAACTGCACTCCAACAGAAGAATGAGATCTTTTAAAGTTAGGAAGTAAAGGAATGTAATTGCTGCGTATTCTCCATA